CAATTTCTTGATCTTTTGCTAAAACTGAGAGGAAAAGGAAGTCTATTATCTTTATGTGATTCGTGTTGTCTTTTAATTGGTAAGGATTTCCCAAAATTTTTGATTAAATACTCATTTTAAAGATCCATATATATTCTTAATTATTCTTCTTCTTTGAAATATCAATGTAGTTTTTTTAGTCTAGGTCTCTTAGTTAAAATATATTTTCTGTTAATAAAATGCATTATGTTGCTGTGTGACCAAAAGAGTCATGGAATTGGAATTTTACTGAATAAGATATTAAAGAGGAGCATAGGAGTGTCAAACATTAATGAAATTTTTTTGTCTGCTAAAGAACTTGTTCCTGAAACATTTCACTTTTCATACTAGATGTAAATTTTCTAGAGAGAACCTTTTTACTCTCTTATTTATTAATAATCAAAACATTACAGATTAAATAGGTTAAAGATAGAATCTCAACCTTCCTAAAAAATAGGAACTACCCTAACTAATGATAACTCTGAATCCTAGAAAAACTTATCTCTAATGATAAACCCTAATCTTCCGTTTTTATTCAAATACAAAAAATCCTAACTACCAAATCCTTATCTAATCGACACTAGATTATGCTAAGCATGTTGCATATAGATGGAGCTTAGTTGTTCATTTCGTAGTTTTAGTTCTATAGTCCTTTCTTTCACTTGTTTCTTTACTAATTCATTTACTTATAGTATGCATCAATGATATTCAAGAACTACTGACTCTAAATGTTTTCTTTCGATATGTTTGCAGATACGTAGTCGTATACTTCTCTATCTTGTATCTACGGTACCATGCTGGCATTGTTACAGATGAGATGCTTTCCATGCCAAAAGCTCCTTTTCTGGCAGTGGGCCTCTTAGAAGCTCTTGCGGCTGCAACTGGAATGGCAGCTGGAGGTAGCCATCTGATATTCTCATGCCTTTCCAATCTATTTCCTCACTGATCACATGATTATGATCGTAGTGGATTTCATGTTCCCAAAAATGATACAATGTGGTGCTATAAATAGTGACAAACAACTACTTTATTACATAGCTAGCCAACACACACTTTTCTTGCTGAAACTTATTCCTAGTTGTGAGTTTTACAATGCTCTTATGGATGGAGGACGGATTCTTTTTTCAAACTTTGTTCAAGTACTAGATGCATTGTTTGTTTTTTTCGTTTATATTTTAAAAGTATTTGAAGTGCATTTTTAATTGCTAGCCCATTCTTGTGTTAGGGTAAAAAAATAATCAAGTTGTACAATATGTTATTAGCGCTTTTTATGTATTTATTTATTTATTTTTCCTTTGTTTTCTTATGGTTTGGATAATGTATGAGTTTAGATTAATTGTTTATATCTTGTTTTCTGTCATCTCCCTTCAACCAGCAATTTTGTCTGGAGCATCAATTCCAATTTTGTCCCAGGTAAGCAGATTTCACTTATCATTTTTTTTTCTTGTTTACAAAGCTTGGATAATGGATATGAATTTGTATCCCGCTAGAATTAGTTATACTCTCTGAAAATTATACTTCTCTGTTTTGCATAAGCTAGTACCTTCTGGTTTGAACTTCTAAAAGCTGATCCAGTTGTATAATACTATTCTGAGAAATCAGGAAATGATATGACTGTCAAATCAATGAAACCACAGGTTAAGAACATTGATGCTATACCAGTACAATTAAATGGTATAGGTAGATGAAAGAACATAAATTTTCTCTTACTTCTAAGAAGAGTTGAAATCAACTTTTGATTAATAATTAAAGAAGTGCTGGAACCCAGTGTTCGCAGCACTCTGCTTGTGCAGTTAGTTTGTAAGGATGACTTTCTAGACAAGATCAGAATGAGGTAAAAAAGGACTGCCCATGTTGTTAAAAAAAGCAGTTAGGCATTAGTTTCTAACATCAAATCGGGACTAGGGAATATGGATTTTTTTCCCCTCCAATGGTGTGGGCTTTGACATCATTAGGCATCTCGCAATTTGGATTTGTTATTTTGAAGTTAGATAATTAATGGACAACTGTACTAATTTTGCAGACTTTTCTCGTTTGGCAAATTCTCCTGTTAGTTATTTTCCTTGGGAGAAGATATAGAGTAAATCAACTTTTAGGATGCTTTCTTGTGGCTATCGGCGTAATCATAACTGTAGCAAGGTAACTCACGTATATGATCTTTTCGAATTCTATATTTTGTCTTAGGCTTCTACAAACAATACTCAGCTAGTCGCTCTTGTTGGTGAACGGAATGTTCAAGGATTCTGAACTTTTAACCCCGTTCACTTCACCAATTCGAGTTTAGAATTTGAGTTTTACTACAGTAAAAAGTCCTCAGAAACAGTTATATCTAACTTTTTTGCTACAGTAAAAAGCTCTCACATAAAATCACATCTCAACTCGAATTACAAACTCGAATCAACGAAGTGAACGGGCCAGTTAATTTGTTTGAAGGACGGTTAAACTCTAGAAGGGTAGTAATAATACCAAGAAGTTTTCATAAGTGTGGTCTCTTATCACTTTCTATGAATGATGTAGGTTCTTAGAGACCGAGTCAATCATTTTGCCACCTCAGATAAAGGAAAACGAAAATAAAATACAATTTGTTATTTTAATCTCTTCCATATAGATAAATTAGTTCCTTGTCTTTCTATCTATAGACATTAGGAAGATAGCAATATACCGTTTTTTGGTGGATGACCAACCCATACATGGCATCCAGGGACTACGTCTTTGACATGTTCATATGTGATGTTTACTGGATTCGTTTGAACCTATTACACTGAAACTAGTCGTGCTTTGAGCTGAATTAGAAGATGAAGCCCGGTTCCTTTCTACAATCTTTATAACGCTTGACCATTCAGCTGCATGTATGTTTACTTTGTCTTATTTCACAGTGGGTCTGGTGCTGGAAATTCGTTAAAGGAAGCAGGTATATTCTGGAGTCTTTTGATGATACTTTCATTTTTGTTCCAAGCCGCTGATACAGTACTGAAGGTTAGAACTTCTCAATGATTAATTCAACATTTCACGTCATCAAATTGTACTGTGGTATGTGACCAGGAGCTTTCTGATTATTTACAGGAAGTAATTTTTCTTGATGCTGCTCGGAAACTAAAGGTACTAACTGTTTTATATTCCATCTAGCATGATAAGCAGAAACTGTTCCAATGGCAGAAATAAAATCTAATTTTCCACTCTTGTAATATCTGTTTGACTGTTTCTAAGAAATAAATCTGAATTGGATCTGTTGCAGGGAAACTCGGTAGATCTATTTGTTGTTAATTCCTTTGGATCTGCTTTCCAGGTCAGTACCACGTAGTCATCAATTTTAGTTTCATAAGTTTAGTTTTTATATTTGATTAAAATGTTTCATTTCGGCTCTGAATATCATGTTTTATTACTGAACTTGAATGATGGACTGAGGGCTTGCATCTCTGCGGATTGCAGGCACTTTTTATATGCCTACTCCTACCATTTCTATCAAAACTATGGGGGGTTCCTTTTTCCCAGCTGCCAAACTATCTGAAAGACGGTGCAGCTTGCTTCCTAAACATTGGTACATTATCCAGTGGTGAGATTTATTATCTTATAATTCTCTTCCCTTCGTTATCTCTTTTTATGTATGTAATTATCTCTTTTAATGATAAATTAGGAGTACTAGGGCCTAGTATACCATTTCATCAATATCCAAGAGCTTATCAATTTCATTTAACCTACTGTTAGTAAACTGTAAATATCTCGGCTTAGTAGTTATTAGGGAGACAAAAAAGTGAGATCTAAAGGCACGAAGTGGCACATTGAAGAAAAGAAAGTGTTGAAACGATAAATTTAGCTAACTATTTAAGATGGTGCGGTGCTCTAAACAAATTTGAATATTTATTGGCAGCTCACTCATAGTTCCTTAGTTCTATAACAGTAACTTAGAAGCCAAGTGAATAGAAGAGAAAAGTGCAACGGTGTCAGTTGGCACGACTTGCTATTAGAGCATACTATTATGTTTGTATTAAGAGTGTATAATGACATAAGTAACCAACTTAATTACATTGATCGTGTGGCCACAGGATGTGACGGAGCCCCGTTATTGCCCTTGTTGTTTGTTATTGTCAACATGGGTTTCAACATATCATTACTGCATCTTCTCAAAATCTCTTCTGGTGTGGTTTCTTGTCTCGCATCGACATTCTCAGGTACTTGATTTATTTGAACTTAAATAATGATAATAATAATAATAATGATGATCTAGAAGTCAGCAAGTGTATAAACGTAACTTGTTATTGGGTACATAAAATTGGGGACATCCAAACTACCGGTTGGTTGGTTACTTTGGAGGTCAATTCCACCATGCTGAATGCCAAGTGTCAAATGGTTAGAATAGGTTTTGCATAAAAATTTTCTTCTGAGTCTGGGTCAAAATGATTAAAATGTCCATCAAAGCTAAGCAGCTAAAGATATGTAATAAACTTCTTCATATTAGTTTGTTAATAACATGACATTTAGTAAAATCAATCACATCTCTCGTAGTTAGCTTCATGCTCAATCGTTTGATAGAGTTACTGCATTGGTATTTAAGTTGGGAGGATTCCATGTGAAGACTATGCCATTTTATCAAGTTATTGCTTCTTGTATACAAGCGTCTTTTTAATGAAACATACAAATAAGATAATTGACGTTTAAATATATTTGTATTTCTTGGTTTTACATGGCAGTTCCAATATCTGTGTATCTCTTCACGCTGCCGTTGCCATACCTTGGCGTTGCGTCGTCTCTGCCAAGAGGTTTTGTGGCTGGAACCATTGTTCTAGTTATGGGTCTGCTTATTTATGCTTGGACGTCATCAGAGGGTTCCTCTGATACCTCACCATCGGAATCTAACTTATGGTCGTAACTATCAAATCCTCAAAGGTAAAACAGAGCCTTGTTTTTGGAAATGGCAAATAAGATTGGTAAGATTACTGTTGTAACTTGTAATTACGTTGCAACTGTTGCTCAAGTAAAACAGCTAAAGTGTGTTCATTATTATTCTTACTGCGCAAGCAATCAACATTAGATCAACAAATTTGGTGTAGATTCTCTCTTGAAAAGGAATAACAAGAGAGATGAATTAGATCAATAAAGCTGATGTTGATTCTCTCTTGAAAAGGAATAACGAGAGAGATGAGATTTTTTTTTTCTTTTCTTTTTTCAAGATGATGAGGGGCATCTCACCCCTGATTTTACTTTTAAGTTCTGCTCCAAGTAAAAATGCTTTGTTTTCGTGCATATTCACGTCAAAACAAAAATATGTAGATCTGCTGATGACAATCTAACATCACAGAACTGCGTCATATATGTATAAATATACTCACACACAATAGTTGGAAGCAACGCGCTCGCATACTCAGTTTATTAATTTTTTTGAATAAAAAATGTTTGGGTAGGGTCATATTTTAGAAGAAATTATTTCAAAAAGGAAATAATTAAATAAAGTTACGAGGACCACATTTGAGAAAAAAATATTTCCTAGAAAAATTTAACCGTGTCAAACATTTGAAAAAGTTATTTAACTGAAATGAAATGAAGTGAATAAAGTATACATAAAACTATGAAAACCAAATTCCATAATAACAAATTGTTGGAAGAAAAAAGAAGGAAAAGAAAGAACAAGAAGAAGATAGAAAAACTGCCTAAAAAAGCAGGAAGGGGTTTTTTTTTTTTTTTTTTAATTTTTTTACAAAAAAAAACATAGGAAAAGTAAAAAAAAAAAAAAAAAACTAACAAAATACACCTAACGAATTGTTTTTCTAGGCGTGCAAGAAACTTAGGCTTGTTCTTTTCACACATTAAGTTACAACTCAAGTTTTATTGCTACAGTGTTTTCTTATAAAAATTCAAATTTAACTTTTTTACTAGTGTTTTTTTTTTTTTTTCTTTCACATACACACCTCAAGTTCTTGACTTGATTTGTGAAACAAAGGTATCTTTATTCTCCTTTTATAGGAGGTATTTGGATTTTTCTCGTTCTTGTGCTACATACTTCATTCATTTTCACTTTATCCATCAAACTTTCTAAAACTCGCTCTATTATTTAAACTTTGAATGAATCCACTTAACCCTATATAATAGATTTTTTTATGGAGGAAGCATGTAACCACACATTATTTATTGTTGGAAGGTAAAATTGAGTTTTTGAAGTCTACGAGGAATTATGTTTCGGGCGCAAGAAATAGAAAGTTTAGGGCTTCAAATTCGCAGCATCAAGCTCCGAACTCGTGGACTCTCCTTCGAAACCTAGGGCTTATACTTAAAATCCACTCCACTATTTTAATAAGTCCTATTTAACCCTCTATGTTAGATTTTTTTTCCCTTTTTTTTAATGGAGAAGTTGTGTTTATGGCGCAAGTAATGGAGATTGTACAGCTTCAAATTCGTAGCATCAAGCTCCAAACTTGCGGAGTCTCCATCCGGAACCTAGGGCTTATACTTCGATTAATTAAGGTTTTCTTGCTTGGAAAAGTTTGAAATCTAGCCTGACCCTATCCATATACCGGAGCGGTTGCTGATATCATTTATAACCTTCCAATTTTCAACATCGTTATGCATGAAAAGAAGTTTATATTTCTTATCGATCTTGTTAATATCAAGTCCTAATACAACCCAGAAATGGCTTCGATGTGTTTTGATACTATTGGTAGATGATCTAATTAATTTCAAGCGATACAAATCTTGATTTTTTTTTTTTAGTACAAATATGGGTAGAGTAGAATAGTAATTGTCCACCAAATGTTTAGAGAACATTACTACTTGTATGACATGTGTTATTTCTGTGCACATTAATATTCTAATAGAAATGTTTTGTTTTTTGAAAGACACGAATGTTACATTTAAAGATTGGAAATCGGGTGTTACCAGAGTCATAGTTGGGGGAAAATTTTCGTAATTAATCCATATATATCTTTATATTAAATGGTGTTAGACTTGGTTGATTTTACGCTTTAAAATGTCATGGTCCATAATTGTAAAAGATAGTGGAAGACATAAGGAATATGGTGATCAGGTGGAGCTGGAGTTTTTCTCAAGTGCATGCCATATTTAGGCCCTGTTCATTTCATCGATTCGAGTTTAGAATTCAAGTTTTACTACAGTAAAAAGCTCTCAGAAACAGTCACATCTAACTTTTTTGTTACAGTAAAAAGCTCTCATATAAAGTCACATCTCAACTCAAATTAAAAACTCGAATCAGCGAACTAAATGAGCCCTTCATAGATATGAGAACGGGAAATTGGTATAATTATAATGCAGGCGAAAACGACATCTTTGGTTTGATGCATCTTCGACCTCACTGTTTATACAAAAGACCAATTCAAAGGTGGGCGGGTTTGTGCTCAAAGTGATAAAATGGATGTGTTTATTTTATTTGTTTTTATTGCACGGATGTGTTTTTATTTGTTTTTATATTATTAATAGTTGTTTTATTTTGGCACGTTACGACCATGGCAGACTTTGATTGTGTTATCGCGCACAGTAATCACTGATGATTTGTGAGTTTTTTCAGTGTTCATGAAAATGATGGATAAGTAATTTAATATGGATCAACTTTGAATTTCGAATTACAGGTCGTTTTTTTTTTCCTTGCCTATAATAAGAAGGAACCATGGAATTGTTTGCCGAGCTTGCCAACAACAAACAATGGCACAGTTTCAGAAGTATCTGACTGAGAACGATGAAAAGGGAAAGTTTTCGGTCCCGGCGGAGTGGCTAAGAATACTACTGAACTTCGGGGAAGGCCATGAGGTTTCCACTGTGTCATTCGGAAGAGAGGACGCTATAGGAAGCCTATTTTTCAGTCTCTAGGATGGCTCAAATTTGTTTAAAAGAAAAGGCCTCAAAGTTGGAGACAAGATAATTCTTTATAAGGAAGATCTTTTCAGGGGAACCAAGTACAGAATTAGAGCACAAAAGTGCAACGGAGAAAGTTTATGGGTTGATTTCTAACTCCAAACTGGTGAAAGGAACTAGACTTTTTTTTGTTTTTTTTTTTTTTGTGTGTGTGTGTGGGAGAATATGTGTGTGCTTATTCCTAGTCTGTATGTTGGTAATTTTGCAAGATTCAAGACCATCTTAAAAAAAAAAAAAAGGAAAAATCTTGTTCAGTTCTGTCCGAATGTTTCCTAAAAATATATGAAATTATATGTATGTTTTCCTCTATTCCTATATCCTTGCCTGTTCATCTTTGTGTTTATGTAAATTTTATCAAAATCCAATTTTATGAAAAGATGAATTCATTTTTAAGATTTTTTATGGCAGGAATACTCTACCGGCCAGTAATGTGCATTTTTTTAAATGTGAAATGAAAATTGAAATCACGTGAGTATAAAAAAATGCAAAAATAATAGAACTAATGGATAAAAATCCAATTATGATTCAATACTTATTAATGAATATTGATTATTTTTTATTGTTAACAAGGATTTGGGGGTACATATATAATTTATGTCTTCAAAAAAATATTACATAGGCATGTATATGGTATGAAATGTGTATTTTATTTTCCTCAAAAAAGGGGGGTTTATCTTGTGTTTCTTAGGCACTGGTTTGATTAAAATAATTAACAACCGCACCAAATTAATATAGCAGTTAGACTCCCTTTTTGTGTTTTGATTGGGAAATATATTACTACTTTCGTTTTATACTTGTTACAAAATGACAACACTATTATGCATAACAAATTCTAACATGTTGAAAGATTTAGGTAGAGTGGATAGGGGCTTGAGAGATTCGAGTGAGGGAGGATGGACCCGTCACGGCTCATCTAGGTCGGTTGTTGTCCGTCGCAGATTGGGAGGTTAAAGTCTGGGTTCACTGTGGTGGGTGACAATGAGGGTGAGCTAAGGCGGGGTTGGGGATAGGGTTGGTTACTGTAGAGCTGGGTGAGATAAGGGTTAGGTTTTCTTTAAGTTTCAAGTTTTTCAGAGCTTTTTTTATTTTATTTTATTTGAGTTTTTCTAATTTTCTTTTTTTATTTGAGGGTATTTTGGGTATTTTTAGGTTAAAATTGAATGTTGACCTAAAAAAGTATGAATTTGTGTAAAAATATAATCTGAAGGTATATATTTGATGATATTAAAAATTAAAAGTATACCTTTTGAATTAACTTAAAACAAAGGGTATAAAAATGTAAATAAATTTTTTTTTTTTTTTTTTTTTTTTTTTTTTTTTTTTTCAGACGCTTCAATTTAAGAGCATGAAATATTGGAATGCTAGGAGCCCGACCCAACGCAACATGGGCGTCACTTTCTTTCTGGAATAACTCTTGCTTGTGAAACTTGAATAAACAATTGTAGCTTGAATAATGAAAAAGTTTATTAGAATGATAATATTACAAAACAAGAACTAGTCCTTGACTAAAACGAGAGAAAAGAAGACAATGAGTTTGATTTTTATCTTTTATTTTTAACTAATATTCTTTTTAATTAAATAATTATATTAATTAAAGAGTATTAATTAAGAATAACGAATTAAAATTTAAATTTATGTATTTTAAAAGTAAGTGTAATAATTTTCTCTTACTTTTTCTCTTTCTCTCTTGTTTTCTTTCTTTTAAAGGTGTTTATTTCGAGGAGGTCTGACAGATTCATTTTTCTGTTTATTTTTATAACAATAATAAACAGATTGAATCCAATTGGAACCTTATAATAATTAACGCCTACTATACATACCTAGGTTTTTTATGCAAATAATACATGTAAATAGTAAATAGGGCATTTTCTACAGAAAGGTCAACGCATTAGAAAAAAGTAAAGTAAAGAAGAAAATGAGAATTGCGTCTAGCTCGATTTTGTTGGTGATGCTTCCTAATTAAGAATTATCCTCTAACTCGATTTCTTGACAGCATTAATTATTGGGATATTTACATTTTTATACTCTGTATTTTGAGTTTATTTAAAAATTATACATTCAGTTTTTAATCTAATTAAATATATACCTTAAAATTAGTTTTAATATCTAAATTTATACATTTTCATAGTCAATCTTTGATTTTAAGCATAAAATACTTAAAGTATCCTTACATAAAAATAGAAAAAGAGAAAAAAACTAAAAAGAAAACTTTAAACTTACGATTTTAACCTTAAAAATACCCAAAATACCATTAAAATGTGGGTTTTTGTGTTTTTAATTGTTATTTTTGTAATATT